GCAGGGTCCGATCGTCTGCAAGCTTCCTGCACACGTGGTAGCACGCTCGGGCATGGGCGTAACACCCCCCCCCCAACATCTCCAGTATACGACCCAAGGCGCCGTTTTCCAGTCTCCCCTTCGCTTTGAAATTTCAAAATGCAACCGCTGTCGCGTTCGATCGCCGAGACCACCGTGCCTGCCCTGCCAATCAAGTGCCTGACCGTGCAATTCGGTACGCACAACTTCAATTTCAGACAACCTTGGGCGTCCTTCCAGACAGGGTGGTGGTGGTGGTGACCCGGAGGGAAGGGGGGAAGGGACTGGGAGGCCGGCATCCCCAGGGACTCGAAGGAAGGCGAGGAGGAAGAGGAAGAGGAGGCGCTGGAGGACGCAGAGGAGGAGGTGGAGGAGGAAGGGGAGGAGGACAGGGTCCCCGCGCCCTCCCCGTAGCCCTTGGGTGTGCTCGGGGGGGGCACGTACTCTCGGCCCACGCCGCAATGTTCCTCCAGGTGGCGAATGCGGGCGGTGATGATCTGCTGGGCCGTCGCCACCGCCAGAATGCTCCCCATGAGAGCCACCTTCCTCTCTCGGCCTCGGTGCACGAGCCGTTCGATCGAGACCTGGGTCCCTGTCAGGCGTTGAATCTCCCCCACCGTGCTGCCCCCCTTGCCGATCAAGTCCGCCAGCACGGGGGGGGTATCCGGGACCAGCATGACCAGGGTCATGAGCTGTCGGTCTGTGGCGTCCTGGAGGAAGAAGGACGAGTCCACGTCCTCCTCCATCGTCTGGGCGACGGATTTCTGGGCCCGGGGCGTCTTCATCTTCCCCTCCCCACTCCCCCGAGGGTCGCCTTTGCCTGTGCCCGTGGCGTGGCTCCTGTTTCCAGGATGCCTGGGGCTTCGGCTGGGACAGGGTGAGCTCACAGAGCCTTCTGGACTCTCGCCGTCCCCGGGGGGGGGCGTGCTTGCCTTCAAAGAGTCTTGTGCGTGGCGCGGTGACAGGACATGTTTTTTTTCCTTCTCATTCTCATACACGCCTGCCTCTGCGATGGCCATTGCTGCCTCCTGGATAACGCCAGCCGCTGCTGCTGCCAACGTGGCGGTCACCTTCGCGTTGTTCATGCGCTCCCACGCCCCTTGTTCGCCTGCCTTGCCCATCTTATCTTCCTCTTCCTCGTCCCCGGCGCGCGTCGGAGGGTTGGTGCTGCTGTGGTCCATTTCTTCCATCTCCCCATGCCTAGGCCTCTCGAGCATTGTATTTGATCCTACAGGTGATTTCCCGGAAGTGAGCTCGATCTCCCTGGCCGCCGCTCTCTCCTCCTCCTCCGCCTCCCCTTCCGTCTGGCCCTGCTCCTCCTCTTCCCCCATCCCCGGCCACGCCTTCCCTCCGCGTCCCAAATTGTTTTCATTTTCCTCCAAGGTCATAGTGTCCTGTCGTTTCCCAACGCTGGAAGTGCTGTCGTTGTTATGCAAATCCATCCGCCGCACCGCCTCTCGGAGAAATGCAACGCCCGCCACCGAGTTGCCTCTAAAGCTCTCTTTAATAAAGCCGACAAACTGGATAGGAATTTGAATGTGCAGATTTAATTATAAGTATGTTGTAAATGCTCTGATCATTCACTTCGTATGCTAAATCTACGCCATGTAAGGTGGTCTGATGAGCGCGTGCCCTGAGAGAGGGGGGAGACACTGCACTCAAATTTCCGCCCAGGACCAGAGTAACGACCTACGTTGCACAAAACAAAGTTTAGCTGTCAAAACACTGAAATAACCTATAAAAATCGTGAAATATGAGAATATGGTCGCCTTTCCTACAAACATTGCACTGCAATGTCCCGTGCCCGTCAGCCCCTGCCAGGGCCCTATACCTTACCTCGGACATGTCCCGGCGCGCCATGACCGCCTGCATTTGCGCCGCTACCATGGCAGAATGCTCCTTTTCCTCGCCCATCATGGCTTTTGCAAGGATTCTTTGGTTGTGGAAAGATGAGAAGGATCTGCTAAGCGTAAAAGAAACGGGCGCGTGGTATTTTGGGGGGGCGTGTGTTCCTAGGAAGAGACTGGGCTTTATTTAATGTCTCTCAAAGACAAGCTAACGGAGACGAGGAAATCTCACGGCCCGCACAACAGCAGAATTCAAGCATTCAATGCACCCAGCCATCTTCTTTCAAATCACTTTACGTCAACCGGCACATGCACGCTTGATGGATATCATTTTTGAGGCGGGCGGGACGGGATTTATTTGGTATGGGCGTGTGGCCCCCCCTCGCCGCAAAACGTCAAGAAAAAGTTTGAATCACTCCTCGCCCTTTTTCCTCAAAACGACTTTCTTGGACTTCGGCGCCATGAAACCCCACCGATGCACTGCAAACTAGACGAACAACGAAATGTCCTCAGCATCTGCACGACTTCGGTGCACGCGGGGTTTTTCCATCACCCTGTGTGGTGCTTTGGAAAGGGGCGGTCGGAAAGGGCTTATTTGTCTCTCGCTTCCTCTCGCTTTTTCCCCATATATCCAGTAAATACTTTGGATGGCCAAGATCCCCGAAGATACTATTGCGCGAGGCCCTTTGACATCATGTGCACATTCTGCTGCTGATTTCTCTTCCTTCGTCATCAATCCACCCGATTTTTCTTGATCTTCTGGTTTGTGCATCCAACTATGGTCACAGCATTTATTCGCCACACACAGCTTTTTGGATCAGGTGGGACATTCGGCCCCCTGTATCTCGGCTACGCCTCCAGCCCTGAACCGCCTGCTTCCACGCAGCAATCGCTTCACGTCAAGTTGATATCAGGATGCTCACATTCCTCATCGCCCGGTGACATTCCTTCCTAGTTGAGGAACTCCCTCCATTCTGCTAGTCATCTGTTTTTCTTGAAGATTTTATACATTCAGAGGACCCTTTCAGGTCCGAGGAGGTCCGGCAGTGGCTCTGGGAGACCATGCGGGTTTGGTTGCGAGAGGAGCGATTCGAGGCTGCTCTACCCCTAAATCAGCGTGCAATACGGTACGTACACAGGCCAGGGTAGTTTTTTGATGACTTCCGTTTGGAATGCATCGGCATTAGCGCGCCTTCATTTTGCCCCGTCGTAAAGAAGCTTTCCTTCAGGGAGCCAAGGTTTTTTGATGGCTCACCAGTATCCTATGGGGGAAAAGTTGCGTTGACATTTCTCATCGTATCCTTCCCTTATGATTCGTCTATACATCACAGGCCCTTGACCCCTCCTATCATCCATGAGCTCATACGAATCCTCCGTCGTAGCGCGACCTTGGAGCCCGCCAATGATCCGAGCCAGCTGGACGAGGCGAATGACGAAAAGGGAGAAGAGGGACGACCCTGTGCCCAAAAGGTCGTCTGGGCCTGGGTCTCGCGCGGGACGTGGATATCTGAAAGTCAAAGGGTGCTGCAGTGGGGCGAGCCCACGGCCTGTCTGTTTTGGGAGATGCTGAATCTTTTCCTCCCTCCAACCCACCGACGCCCCGCCCCCCGCAAGGGCGGGGGGGAGGACGGGACGGAAGGCGGGAGCGAGGCAGGGGTCCCACCGAGCGACCGTGTTACTTTGGTGGAGCTGTCTTTGTTTCTGTGGCTTCATCTCCCCGATGCGTCCACCAAGGTCTCTACTCACCCCGCGACGTACAACGTGGTCTGGCCGCTGGACTCCGGGGGGGGGGAGCAGCCGTCCCTCGCACAGCCCCCGCCCTCGCCTCACCTGCCTTCGCCGGCGACGCTGAGAGCGATGCTTGCTGCCCGCAGTAATGTGGGTGGTGGAGGGGGAGGGCGGGAGGGAGGGCGGGAGGGAGGGCAAGGAGGGGCCAGCAGTCCCGCCGGTTCCCCCGGCCACCCGTCCTCCTCTGGAGCCCAGTCCCCCTCCCCCGTCCACCAGCCTGGCCGCCCGCCTGGCACAGTCCCCCCAGGGCGACGAGGGCAGAGCTTCCGTCACCATCCCGCTGCCGATCCCTATCTACCAAGCAGGGCGGGAGGTGGGGAGGGAAGGCGGGAGGGAGGGCGGGAGGGAGGGCGGGAGAGAGGGCGGGATGATGGCCATGGCCATGTCGACCCCGACCCCGGTCCACACCCCGATCGGAGGAAACAGCCCCATGTCCCCTCGGTCTTATTTTCAAATTCAAAAACGAGATCAAATCGGAGACCTACCATGTGACTTTCCTCAAGAAATATCTTCGAGACATGCTAATAGATATGAAGGTGGTGCTGGTCAGGCCGGGCAAGGCCCAGGAGGCGATGGAGGAGGGCAGGGGGGAGATGGGAGGGAAGAAGGGGTGGATCGTGGACAAGAAGGAGGGCGGCAAGGAGGAATGGTGTGGCCGGTCTCACGTGAGAGCACAGAGAGCTCTTGCGGCATTGGGGGTGCCTGGCCACCGTCACGGGAGAGCAGCGGGAGCATGGACGGGGCAGGGCTGGACATGCGGGTAAGCGCTGGTGAATTTGATGCCCTAGGCTTCTTGCTGAGCGGGGGGGAGGAACTGCTGGGGAGGCAGGTGCGGAAACTGTCTTCTTTGGCGCCCTTGTGGACGTGGGGGGCGGGGTCTCGGGGGGTGGACCCTGGGGAAGAAGGGGAGGAGGAGGAGGAGGGCTGTCCTTTCTTGGTGCTCCAAACGTGGCTGGATGAGGCCCTCTGTGTGAACGAGGCCCTGTACCCGTCCCCCCCCGACCCCTTCCTCTGCCGGCCTCCCGAGAGCCACCCCCCGCACTCTTTTGCCTTGCCCACGCCCTCCCTTTCTCGTCTTCCCGGCCTGAGCAGCAGCCCCCCATCCCTTCTCTTTCCTGCCCAGAAAGACGAGCAGTTCCATCCGCACAGTCCCCTTCCCCCGCTTCTGGTCACTTCCCTCAACCACGGCACCGTCCTGCACGACGCCTCCACCCCTCCCTCGCCCTCCCCCCCTGCTCCCCCCCGTCCGACCCGCCGCATCCTCCCACCCTATCCCCTGCCCTCCCTCGGACCCTTCCACTCCGGCGCGTCCACGTCCAAGCCTGCCACGACGCCAACGTGTACCTGCTGGGACCGATCGAGAGCGCGCATATCGCCGCGTGCACGGATAGCACCATCGTCCTTGGGGCGGTGGCGGGCCTGGTCCGGGTGAGCAACTGCGAACGCCTGACCTTGGTGTGCGCTGCGCGTCGATTGGTGGTCTGCAACTGTTTGGACTCCACCTTCCCCGTCTACCTCCTCCGTCCCGCCGTCCTGGTTGGGGATAACCGCGGCTGCCGCCTTGCCCCCTACAATACTTGCTACCCGTCCCTCCCCCTCGACTTGCGGACGGCGGGCTTCGGGGAGCTGGGCTCGACACAGCCCCGGAACCAGTGGGATTCACCCATCGATTTGACGGCGGAGGGCCACAATGGGGCGGGGGGCGGCGAAGGTGGGCTGGGGCTGACCCGGGAAGGGAGTCATGGGGGCAAAGGGGACAGAGACAACGGCCGAAACGCCGGCCTTGCCGGACAGGAAGGGTCCCGGGCGGGGGGGGAGACACGGATCCTCCCACCCGAGCATTTCTACACCCTCTCCATCCCAGTCCCTCCCGCCTCCTCGCCCGGGCTCCCTGGGCAGGGGCCCATGCCACCAGAAGGGAGTCCACCCACGCTCCTGTACAACCCTTTTCCCCTTCCGCCTGAGTACGCCTCTGTCCTTCGAGAACGTTCGGTAGGCCTGGATCGTCTGCAGCAGACCGTGATCGGCTCTTTAAGCGACGAGCAACGGCCCGGCGTGGAAGCTGCGCTTGTCAGGTATGAATCAACTCCTAGCCCTGCTACTCCTGAGATACCGCCCTCCCTTTCCTCCTCCCTGTATACGTCTTGTCTATCTTTGTACGTTTCTTGTCTCGCTCGTAACATGACGATTCTGGGCCCGGATTCTCGCAGTCGACCCTCTCCTGCTGTCCGTGGGGCCGCATGCCCCACCCCATTGCGTAGGGCTCTGAGGGGAAGGAGATGCTGTGTCGTAGGATTACCTATGTCTGTGGGCATACCATGCGTGTGACTCGTTGAGACATCATGGACTCATCTTTCTCCGCGTCGTATCGACGGGCTTGTCCCCATTCTTACCCCTCCTCCCTCCCAGTAAATTCTACGAGTGGCTGGCGGCTTCTGGGAATTTGAGGCAGGTCTTGGACCTTATCCAGTTAGAGAGGGAGAAGGGCTTGTCGGCCAGGGACGAAAAAGAGGGCGAGGGAGGAGTGGAGGACGAGGAGGAGGACATGATGGTGGCGGGGCAGATGGAAGGGGTCGAAGAAGCGAGGGAAGGAGGAAGGGCCTCGCCAGTGCCTCTGTCCCACGGACTGATAGGTCGCTTTGTCGCCGCCCACGAACAGCACGTGTCCGCCCACCCACACACACACTTTGAGCATCCTCGTCCGTCTTCCTCCTAGAGAGAGAGGGGGAACTTTTGCTGAGGGGATGACTTGTCGGCGGGTGGAGGGTAGCGTAGCATCGGGCAGGGAGCAGCGGGGGGAGTCCGATGGCGGGGTGGAGAAAAGGCTCCTTTCCAAAATTTTGAGACCGTGGAGACGCTCATTTGAAGGGGAAGAAAGGGATTGAGAGGGGTAATCCTCACTGAAGGGGTTGTGAAAGGGACTTCATCGCCGGATAAAGAGACCGCCCGGGGGAAATGCGATGAAAGACAAGGGAGAGATCCCACGCAGGTCTTGACAGATTATCGCCAGAGTGGAGGACGTCCCAATGATAGACTGCATCGGTAAGTAGATTGCTAATAAAGAAAAACCTGGGGACGGTGCCCAAAAAACAGCGTCAAAGCGCGCCAGGCTATGTGTCCTTATCGCAACACTCTTCCATGATAACGGTCTTTCTGTCTACTCCTGCTGATCCATCCTCCTTCGACTACCGTATCCACTTATCTCGTCCTACATACACATCATGCCCTCCCTCCCCTGACCTCTCCCTCCCTACCACCGCCGTTGAGTTGCCATGGCAGGCACCGCAAATTTGGCCCGCTTCCCCGGGGGCACCGGTAAGCCCTTCGCCTCGCAATCCTTGACAATTTGCTCCTCCTCGCCCTGCCAAGCATACCGGACGTTGTGGTTAGGCATGGCCCTGTCCAAGGCTTTCTCTAGTTCTTGGTTCGTGGCACTCATGGCGCTTCGAAGGCCCGTGGGATCGTACGCCAGCACGGCTGGATTCTTGTTGCCGGGGCTGCGGGGTGTATGAACGGAAGGGACATGGCGAGAGACAGAGGGAGAAAGTGAGGGCGTGCATGCTGAAAGCAAGAAGGGTGGTAGCACACACCCCCGGGCTGATGCCACAGGCAAGATGTCGAGGCGAGAGGAGATCGGGAGGGTCTGACACTCTGGGAGCACAAGCCATCCGGAGACGATGGGGAGGGGCGTAAGGGTTCACGGGCGCCAACTTCCATTGAGAAGAGCGGCCGGGATAAGAAAATTTGCATGTCGCCTCGAACCAGTTCCGCATGTTGATGGCAAAATACATGGAATCCATTTGATAGAGAGTTCCAGCCAATGTCCTCCCTATCCGGAGCCGCGTCTCACCTGCCCATCAGCTTGGCCGGTTCGGGAGAGTCCGGTAGCGCCACGCGCTTGAAATCAGGAGACCAGGAAAAGACTTCCGCCGGTCGCCGGCGGGTGTCGTGATCGAAATACTTGATATCGTAAAGCCTGGGAGGGGAGCGGTGGAAATTGGGAGGTGGGTGAGCCGGCGCTGGCACAAGGATGGTAGTCGTTTGATCTCCTAGCTGGAGCCAGGTAATCTTTGCCTTTCTTCACCGCAACCGTCTTCCCTCCATGTCCTCAGGACAGGTTCTGCACCCTCCCGTTCATGCTTGCAGCCCCCATATGTATACATATATCATACTTGTCGTCGCTCTCGCTTTGCGGCACGTTCACTTTCGGCCGGGACCCCGGGGCGGGGTACCGATACCCTTTGATCCGCTCCACGCCGGGATAGGAGATTCGATTACGAGGAAATGGGTAAAGATCATTGATGTCATCTGGCCTGAATAGGGCCCATGATCGGATCTGTGAGGATCATGGGGACAAGGAAGGAAAAAGAGGTCATGGCGTCAGAAAGAACTGCGTCTAAGCAAGGGAGAGAATAAACCCTATGCGACACAAGCTCTCGGGTCTTCAAAGAGAAGCGAACGTTCCCTTTTCACGCACCTTGGTCTGCATGTCCTTGGGAAGTTTGGCCAGGAGCTCATGAATCCATCCGGACGTGCCAGAGAACCACTTATACGGCTTCATGCTGCCACTCATGATCAAAACTACGGAGGTGCTTTGTGTCCACGCACAACTGTTGCCGTCTCGCCTGTCAAAAACCACAACGAGTGCACCTGGTCTTGTTGCCTACACCGTACACCTACACTGTACAGTTTACGAGGTGTGAAGTTGTGAACGGGTTGGGTTTCGCACAGTGCACATCGTCTCTGAGGATCGCCTCTGTCTCCACACCCTCGGCGGTGCATCTGGTTAAAAAAAAATCAGGCACCACTGTCATAGTCTTAACACCGCGTGTGCCGACAAATGAAACAGCACTATACCGACACTTTCCGTCCTTTCATGCCTCCGCACGGCTGTAAGCTTTGCCGGGCACGGGCGTGGCTTGCTGCTGCTGTCACACATCTGGAGCCAGACGGACGAATATGTCCGTTGCTGGTTTTTGGGGGGGGACAGCCTCCCCACGCCTTTTCAGCTTACTCCATTTATCGAGGAAGAACATGGAGTGCTTGTCGAGTATTTGCTACAAAATCGAAGAGTAATATTATAAAATCATTTGTAGACGTTAGATAGTTGAGGGAAATTTGTCACGTACATGTTTTTTAGCATATCAAAGCGCAATGACTTCTGAGGCTGAATTTGTTCCATAGGCCTGTAACACAAATTTATATTTTTGCATGGAAACAGTCGTCATGGCCCTATCAGCTCGACATCGATGGTGTACATCTAAGCTTGTGGAGGCCTTTGCTCCTGCCATTGACGATAGCAAAGCCCAAGCCTTCATTAGGCAGGAAGACGTGCACCAAAAATTCTCAGCACTATTTCGTGGCGAACCAGGTATTCCAGTCAAGCTCTTGGTTTATTTTCAGCCGCCTTCATCATGTGCACCATTATCTGTTGGAAATTCTACTATTCCCAGCCAAGATGCCCCGCCAAGTAGCTCCACAGGTCTCCCACCAAGGCCACCATCATTTGCAGCCGGTGACCCCTCCGACAAGCCTGCGTCCCCCCCCGTGCTTTTCCTTGCTGAGAGTGATTGTGATGCAGATGGATTGGAGGCAAAATGCTGCTACTTCCTACGGACGGTGCCTCAAGGCCAAGCCATTGATATCAACAAAGAGTGGGAGAGCGATCTCCTCTTCGGAGAGGTTAGTAGCTATCCGCTGAAATGCTTCGAAAATCTGTTGTCGCACGCCTTTAAACCGCTTTTGGAGGCCGCAGATACAAGCTGCTGGGGCAAAGCAGACGAAGAAAACAAGGGAGCGATCTTGGAGGAAATGGATCACCTCATATATGACCTAAATGAGGCGCTAAAAAGTGTGGCCGCTGGCCTGGAGCTCCGACGTCCTGAATGGCCAAAGACCCAAGAGCTGGACACTTTCGTCATGAACATGGTCGTAAAACGAAACAGTGGTCGGCCTTATACGTATCATCACCTTACTTCGCATCAATCAGGGCTCCTACAGTATTTTCAAGGCCTGGTCGAAGGGTGGTGCGACCAAATTGAAGCTTTTCTAGACGTCCCCCCGACAGCGCAAGATCAAAAAGTCAGCTCCACAAACCAGCCCATGGGAGCATTTGCTGACAAAGCTTTGCCGAACGTTCTGGATGAGGGTCCCAAAGGTGAACTCGACCGCTGGAAAAACCGCACGCAGCGGCTGACAAGCGTTACCCAACAGCTTCGGCGGAAGGATGTTAATACCATCATAGCCCTGCTCACATCATGCCTTATGCTGTCCCCATTAGCCAGCAATCTATCACACACGACCTCGTCCACTTTAAACGGATCTTTGTTGGATCCTTCGGCGGAAGGGTACTACAGGAATAGCACCCAATCTGGCACACAAGTCGGGGGAGCTGGAGAGAGCAACACTGAGGACAGCGGGACGTCGACTTTGACTCACAAACTGGTAGTAACACTACGGAGATGGAAACAAATCGACGTGAGCATTACGGAGGCAGCTAGTGAGGCAAAAGATAACGTCAAATACCTCGCCACACTTGAAAAATTCATCGGACCCCTGTATTCTGGCACACCGACCAGCATGCTAAACGTCCTACCGGCACTGATGGGAAGTCTCAAGATGATACACACAATTTCGCGATACTACAACACGACAGAGCGCATGACAGCGTTGTTTCAAAGAGTGACGGACCAAATGGTAAGAGGTTGCAAAACATGGCTTC